TCTCTCTCTCTCTCTCTCTCTCTCTCAGCCTATCATCTAATTGCCTAATTCAGGTAAACGAACCTGAAGACACGGATAACCCCCTATATATCCATCAGAATCCTATTTAGACCCAATGCGCTCTCCACCATTACTCTCTGAAGGACCCAAACCACTCCTCGAAGTTGAGACACAGAAGTATACAAAAATCAGAGAAAAAAGAGAAATACATTTCGCAATCAACTTGGAGAAATCACGGCGAAAAAACGGTCAACGAATACCTTCAGCTTACACACTCGACAGACCTGTAACGGGAAAAGGAAAAAAGGCCAGTGGCATTTTGTTTGCTCTTTTCGCTCAAACAACGGTGGGAATGTTTTGTTTTCTGCCCTTTTTTAGTCGGGATAAAAGTGAGGGAGGGGAGGTGGGGAGGTAGGGGGTGTGAAGAGGAAGAACAGTGAACACTGCTATGACGTCACTAAAAAGGAAAAGAGTGAAAAGTAAATAAGGACTAGAGCGGACTGGGGTAATGGGACGTCTGCAGTGAAGGCTAGTGTTCAAATGTCTCATTTGCTTTGAACATTTTTGACTGCAGTCAGCAACGAGACCAAATTCGTCTTCAATGAACGAGCAAATTGACCATCAAAAAATAAAAAATATAATAAAATAAACGTTTCATTTCAGGGCTGACGTAGACAGTCATCTTTCTATAATGTAAGAGATAGTATTTCCGTGTCTCATTTTATTTTCGCTCCTTCCAAAATCATTATGATAAGTACAACTAAATGAGTGCAAGGGTAAAAGTGGACTTTCTGGGTTGAATATGTACACAAGTTGGGTAAGAGTGCACCTCATTTTTTTAATATATGGATATTTCTTCTTTCCCCAAAGAGACTTTAGGGTTAGGGATCTCTAGAGGGTACTAAGTTAACCATTTTTTTAAAAACCAAAAGCATAATAAGCCTGTGAGAATTATTTCCTTCCTCGTATCACCTAAAACCTTTCATTCCTCTCTTCTTCCCAATGTTTAAACTCAAACCAACACCTGCCAAGCGCCCCGCTACGCAAATCACCACGTAAGATACTATATATAATATACATTCCCTCGAATAACACGATAGTGTAAATCACCTACTGCAGAACGATATGACACGGTATCAAACAGGCGAAAACATTACCCTTCCTACGACCCAGAAGTTAATTAGTTCCTGGGGTTTCAATTATCTTCAAAGCCACTTTCGCCACAGTTCAGTCAATTAATCACCAAGAATGACATCAGTCACCAGCGCGCCCGTGAACGCAATCTACAAGACTTGCAGTCCATTCACACCAAGCCGCCACGTGAGAGAGATATCAGCCACGATCTGGCAACGAATCTCAGCGCCTCCCTTTGGATTAATCTTCCAAAACTCAGCCGACCGAATCCCATCGTTAACGGGAGAACAAGGGCGATGAACACGTTCGATTCGTATGTGTCAAAATAATTATTCCCACAGGGAAAATGATTATCTTCTCGGTTTCACACCAACTATACTGGGCCTGGTATCTGTTTTCATCACTTTCCCCAGACTTAACTGCCTTTCACATAAAAATGGTATTTCAGCTAATGGCGATAGGTATGTTACAGTATTGTGAGGGCATGTATAACGCCCCTTTCAACACTGTAAGGTATTTTTAAAAGTGAAATTCCAATCTGTAATTAATTGTCCCTCTCCGACAGGACAAACCTAAGTAAAGAGACAGTAACGCCTAATAAGCACTCCAAGTTAAAGAAAACCCAGCCAGGGACTCCTCCATGATCATCTGCACTAAAGTCCAGCAAAATATCAACTGAGCTTACTGCTGTAACTTTGATATAATATAACATTTAATTGAGACATCTGCTGAGACGTAATAATATATACACGCACGCACACGCACGCACACGCACGCACGCACGCACGCACGCACGCACGCACGCACGCACGCACGCACGCACGCACGCACACGAATAGTCACTGACGAATCGCCACCCTTACGGCAATCATATAGTTTTCGTTTTAGTTTCATTAAGAGTTCTAAGGCACTTGCAACACAAAAAGGTCAAGTAATTGCCGAAGATTAGAGGTGTTCCTGGACAGTAACACACGATACAATTTTTTAAAGAGGAGAGATAGGACGACATATATTTATTGATAAGAAAGAAGGGACAAACCACACCAGAGCGCTCGCCAACCACCCATGGGCAAACATTTTACTAAAAGCAGATACAGACAGCACGGCCTTAATAAACTCACAAGCACTGGGACGGCCTGAGCAGCAGAAAATGCTTGGCCACCAACCAACGTCCTATTTAATAAAGCCGTTGGACAGGAGGATAATGGACGGGCAATTTCCTATCTTTTGAATAACCCTAATAGAACAAAAACAGTTTCAATGTAATAGTGGACGGGCTAAACGAAAAATCGACCTCTTAAACAATCATCAGTTACGACTCCATCGATTAGTTCCAAAAAATAAAAAAATGAAACGCTGATACATGCAAAACCAGAACTGCAGAGAGATATATATACACAAGAAGAGAGATTTGAATAGCCAGAAAAAAGGGTCGTTAAGCAACAAACATTCTATTTATTGCCATTATACACAAAGACTTCATTTTCTTTCACAGACGGAAATTCTATAAAACCAAACCAAAACAACAACGCAGTGTTATTCAAAGCGAAAGTGGGCCTGCAAGTACAAGCATAAAAAAAGCAAAGCAAAACGTCGGATTTCCATTTTCGCTTGCAGGTACAAAAATCCTAAATTCTATTTATTGTCTCTTACACACGAACATTCCGTATTTCCAAATAGAAAACAGCAAATCGTTTATATTGAGAGAGAGAGAGAGAGAGAGAGAGAGAGAGAGAGAGAGAGAGAGAGAGAGAGAGAGAGGGGGGGGTGATTGAACGAGATAACGTTAGACATAACTTATAGAGAGCTCAAATGAACATTTTAAATCGATCCGTGAGGGAGATTAATTACTGGGCAAGACGTCAGATTTTGCCGGACGACCGATATTTTTGTTTCTCCCAACATTTCAATCAAGAGAGAGCTTGAGCGGCTACAGGTCGCTCTGACACCAGCAGCGACAAGGCAGATACAGGAAGACAAGAACATGTTAGCTTTAGTTTTAGTAAGAGTTTTACGGCACTTGCAACATAATAGGTCATTTAAGTGCCGAAAATTAGAGGTGTCTAGTTTTAGTTTTAGTAGAGGTTTTACGGCACTCTCAACTGCATACGGTCATATGAGCGCCAAAAGATGAGGTGTTACAAGAGAGTAACAAACATAAAAAAGGAGGAAAGATAAGGACGATAGATGTTTGATAGGAAAGAAGAAGCAAACCACACCAGAGCACCCGCCAACCACCCACACAGGTACATGTTTCAGAACCGGAGAGACAGGAGAGAACAAAATCGTACACTTCTTAGTGCCGACTGAGGGACAGAGAACGTAATAATATCTTAAAGGAGTTACACTTGACTGATCGATTCATTACATTAAGCCAGTCTACACAAAAACGACTGTGGCAACAGATAAGGAAAAACGGTACACACCGAAGAAGGGACTTGATTTTAACAAAAGAAACGCACATCGAGGTGTCCAGCTTCGACCCCACCAATCAGGGCCAAACGGAGGCAAGTGGGATAAAAATACCAACACATAGATGTGAATGCTGCATAAACATTTCTTTCCGCGCCCCCCCCCCCCAAAAAAAAAATGGAACTCCCATCCTCTGCGCGCAACAGCCAAGAGGTAAACGATTACACAACAGATGCCTATGAAAACAAGATAATAGATTACGTAAAGCTGTGGAAAAGCAAACGAGCATTACAGAAGCAATAGAGGAACAATAAAGAAGTCATGGCAGCCTCCTAGAAGGAACCTACCAAACTACTGAGCCCTAAGGACTTGTTTCTTTTGGTTAAAGAGAAGCACATCGACACAGCATTGGTTATTTAGTTCTGTGAAAATGGTGAAAAAGTATGGATTTAACGACCCTTTCAACACTATCAGGTTATTTAAGAGGCAGGAACTTCAAGTTTAACATCCATCTCCAAAAAGACCGAGCCAAATGGGAAATTTGTGCAAGTGCCTAATTTAGTTCGGGGTAAAAGTAAGACAGACATGGTTTAAGTAAGACTTTCACGGCACTCGAAACACAATAAGGTCATATTAGAGCTGAAGATTAGCGGTGCAAACAAGAGAGTAACAAACACAAAAAGAGAGGCGTGACAAAGACGATGGATGTATGATAGGAAAGAAGGAACAAACAACACCATAAGCACCCGCCAACCACATACAAAAAGACAAACATGATACATAATCAATAGTGGGGAAGTAATAAAATGATAATAATGGACTGCATTTATATAGCGTACATCCACTTATGCAATGCTCTATGCACTTAACATGAAACATATTATGGAATAACAAATCAATTTTATAGGCACATGGTATTACATACGCGTGCACACACATACTATAGAAGTAAAGAAGTAAGACATACCAGTCGCGCTCCCCCCCCCCCCAAAAAAAAACCCTGGCGCCTAAAGGACAGACGAAGGAGGAAAAGCATGTTTAAAAGGAAGTTGACACAAATTTTCAACACACATTCTTTCTGAAAAGACCTACTCTGAAAGACGGAAGAGTCGAAAAGGAGCTGACGAAGCAGACCACCACAATACACAGTTAGGAAAGGCAGACAAGATAGAGATATGAAACAATGAAAATTTAGATAATTTTTATATTGCCTACTCCCATGTGCACACTGGTCTAGCCGCCTTACATAAAGGGTAGACAGACAGACAGACAGACAGACAGACAGACAGACAGACAGACAGACAGACAGA